ACTGCTCAGTGTTGCTTAAGGTAAGGTCACATCAAAACAACAATAAATCTTGTGGAAATCTTCAGATTGGCTTGAGTGGGTCCCACTTTGCACTTGCATCATCCATCACCTCCAGCATACCAGGATGGAAGTCATGGAGACAGCAGCCACCTCTTTTTCAGGAAATTCCTAAGCGTACCCTGGAACAAGAAGAAGAAGAAGAAGAAGAAGAAGAAGAAGAAGAAGAAGATATCATTTCTATAGCGCCTCTCAAGATAAAAATCATGAGGCGCTTCACAAAAAGAAATAAATACACACATACCTTCCCCTGAATTTGGTGTTTCTTTAAGTGCCTTCACGATCTAACACGCAGGGTGGTTTATTTGCTGGTTTCCTTCTCAGCTGAGAGATGGATCATGCTGCTGCTCCTTCATGAAAGCTTTTTTAAGCAGGGAGAAAGTATGACAGCTGCATTTAGACCCACAGTGGGAAATCTGCCTAAACACAAACTGGTCCTTATTTAACTGATGCACTGAAATTAACACCATTATTTTTGTCAAATGGATGCGGCTGGGCGCAAGGGGACTGACAGTTAGGATGTGAACATAATCAGTGTTTAGTCCCACCCTGCAGAGCATCTGCTAGCACAGAATCCATTTAGCCAGATTTTTAATGATGCTGAAGCTCAGCGCTGGTCCCTCGCTGTGGGTCATTGTTCTCTCATCATGCCGCCTGAAGCTTCATCTGTCACCAGTTCCCTGGAACATTTCGATTTTCTAAATGCATGAAAAAAAAGTATATATATTTTTTATTTGGTTTCAGTTGAGTAAACTGTTGACAAAATGTTTAAAAGAGACATCAGGGGAAGTTGCTCTGTGGTAGTCTCTTTAGAGCAGGTAGGCAGCAAAAATACACTTAAATTATCTTTTCAGCACGTAAATATTACAACCAAACCATCATATTATGCAACTTATACAACAGATTATTATATAACAAGGCTTCATAATAGATTATGTTGTCTCAGTAATGAGTTTTGTTTTAGGGATGTCTGATATCATCGGCTGATATTTGCATTAATATTTAATGCATAAAATGATCAGTAAGTATTTATGTATACCTTTACTGTTGGGTGGTATCGTGGTATATTGGATATAGGTTAAAAAAAGGCTGATGTCAAACATCCATAATTTTGTCTGCAAATAAATGTTAATTCAGACACTTAATTTAGGCTGAAAATTAAGATTTGAATAATAAAACAAGTCTGTAATTCTTTAAAGGGCTTATATTATGACTTTTGTTTTTAAGTTATAATAGTTGTATGGTTGATACAAATTATTTTTATTAAGTTCTTTCAACTAAATCCCTCTTGTATAAAGCAGTTTAATTTTCATCAGTTTCAATACCTTCCAGAATGAGCCTTTTCAGGGCTCTGTCACTTTAAAAAAACAAGCTGGAGTTGGCCACACCCACCCAACACTGCTCAGACTGCTATTAGCTGAGAAGCACCGATATCAGGGAGGAGCACAGAGCCACTGCTCCTCCAGCATCAGCTCTTGCATCTGAGATGTGTTTTAATTCTAATTTCCCCATTTGTGACATCACAAACAGGGACTTTTTGAATCAACTTGTTTTAGGCACCTAATTCCTAAAACCAAACACTGACAGAAAAATGGACAGGTTTTTTTTCATGTTTGGAGTGTTATAAAGGTAGTAGGGTCACACATGGTGACACAAAAGGATGCAAAAGGTACATATGTGCCTTCTAAAATATTTAATTAGCAGGTTCCATTTTTGGTTCTTTTTAAAACACAGGAAAGGTTTCTCTTTGCCTTGCTGACAGTTTCATTTGCTGACTGCAAAACATCCTCAGAGCTGATGCTGATGGTAGCGTCACTTCCTACTCCGTTTATCCGCGGGCAGCAGAGGACGTTGTCGCCCTCTGCTGCCTGCTCTCCCCTCTCCGATGATGCAGTCCCATGCACGATCCAATGTGTAGACCCCATCGTCCCTGTTCATAGTCCTGCACCCACGTCTCCTCATCTCTATGGCTTCTTTTATCCATCTTTTGTATTTCTGTAGTTCGGTGTTTATGATCCTTGTGCTGTCCCAGTCCATTATATAGTTTTCTCTTATGCAGTGATCCATTATTGCTGATTTCTTTATTGTACTTTCAGCATCTTGTTTTGCTGCTTTTGTGTGTTTTCGACTTGCCTCTTTCTCGCACTCCTTTCTGTGTTTTATTGTTCATGTGTTGAGTTGGCGTCCGGTTTCTCCTATGTATGTTTTATTGCAGAGTTTGCATGGGATTTGGATCTCGTCTTTCTGGGTTTCTTGTTCTTTGCTTAGATTGTTTTTTTCTTTCTGTTGTTGTTTGTTGTTTTTCTTTGTTTTTTGCCCATGTCGGGTATCCGCAGGTCTTTAAAGCGTGTTGTATGTGTTTGTCCTCTTGTTTACGGTCTCTATCTTCTGTTATCATGTTTGCTCGGTGATATAATGTTCTGATTACTGACATTTTGTGTATGGTGGGGTGTTCTGATGTCCATAATAAGTATTGGTCTGTGTGTGTTGGTTTCCTATATGTGTTTATGTTTAGGGTCCCGTCAGTCTGCCTGGTTATTTTCATGTCCAGAACCAAAACCAGTGATAACCCTACCATACATCAGAGGCATAACAGAAAAAATAAGAGCAACAATGAAAAAACACAACATAAACACACCAACAAAACCATACACAACAGTTAGAAACAGACTAGTATACCCAAAAGACAAGATACCAGCTGGACTTAAATGTGGAGTCATTTATGAATTCCCATGCAAACTCTACAATAAAACATACATAGGAGAAACCGGACGCCAACTCAACACACGAACAATAGAACATAGAAAGAAGTGCGAGAAAGAGGCAAGTCGAAAACACACAAGAGCAGCAAAACAAGAAGCAGAAAGTACAATAAAGAAGTCAGCCGTAACAGATCACTGCATAAGAGAAAACCATGTAATGGACTGGGACAGCACAAGGATCATAAACACCGAACAACAGAAATACAAAAGATGGATAAAAGAAGCTATCGAGATGAGGAGACGTGGATGTGGGACCATGAACAGGGACGATGGGGTCTACACGTTGGATCGTGCATGGGACTGCATCATGCCCGCGGATAAACGAAGTAGTAAGTGACGCCACCATCAGCATCAGCTCTGAGGATGTTTTGCAGTCAGCAAACGAAACTGTCAGCAAGGTAGAGAGAAACCTTTCCTGTGTTTTAAAAAGAGCCAAAAATGGAATTCGAGACTAGACACAGAAATAACATACCAAAGATGATTAATTAGCAGGTGCTCCTATAGAACAAATTTTCGTATCATTCCATAATTTCATCTCTACATATAAGTCAAGAAATTATTCTTTTTCTACTAAATGAACCATAAATATACTTGAAACTTTGCTTTCTCAAAGTTTTAGTTGGTTTTTAGTTTGTTTGACTGATTAAACACACACTCAGGTTTCTCATGTCGGATTAAATCTCGTGCTCCGACCAGAACTTTCGTTAAGGTGAGCAGCACCGTTCAGATCAATAAATGCACCGATGCACAGTAATGAGGAAGGGAAAAGTGAAACCACCTGCAGCCACGGATCTACCCCGAATAGACGTGACCGCTCCAGGATTTGAGCTACTCTGAGTTTTAGTCACTCATCTTGGAATGCTAAAGTTAATTACATTTAGCAGCTCTGCAAGACATTTATTCAGCTGTACAAGATGATGCTGAGGTAAGGATATCCTGCATCCTCTGTTCATCGATCGGTGGTGCCTTTGTACAACAGCCTCACCTCAGTGTGCTGTAGGGCAGCTGGGGCTACAATGTTGCTCATCACCATCAGTGTGTGAACGGAAAATATGTCAGAAAGGCACCAAACAAATAATTCATCATATCCAGTCCTATTCAGCAGTTTGTATGGAGCTGTTCGCAGCTGGGATGAGAATCGGCTCCTCTAAATCCGAGACCATGGTCTTGCGTTGGTGGAGGGTAGAATGCCTTCTCCGGGTCAGGGATGAGGTCCTGCCCCAAGTGGAGGAGTTTAAGTATCTCGGAGTCTTGTTCACAAGTGAGGGAAAGTTGGAACGCGAGATCGACATGCGGATTGGTGCTGCATCTGCAGTGATGCGGGCGTTGTACCGATCTGTCGTGGTGAAGAGAGAACTGAGCCAGAAGGCAAAGCTCTTGATTTACCGGTGGATCTACGTTCCAACCCTCACCTGTGGTCACCAGCTTTGGGTAGTGACTGAAAGAACGAGATCATGGATACAAGAGGTTAAAATGAGTTTTCTCCACAGGGAGTTGGGGATCTTCCTTAGAGATATGGTGAGAAGCTCAGTCATCCAGAAAGGGCTCGGAGTAGACCCGCTGCTCCTCCACATCAAGAGCAGCCAGTTGAGGTGGCTTGGGAATCTAGTTAGGATAACTCCTGGACACCTCCGTGGTGAGGTTTTCCAGGCACGTCCAACCGGGAGGAAACCTAAAGGGAGACCCGGAGGAGCTGGCCCAAGTGGCTGTCCCCGTGACCCGACCCCAGGGCTGAAAATAGATGGATGGCTGGTCCTATAGTGGTCTACTGCCCTCTGGTGGAGGATCTTGAGATGATTTCCAGAAATAGAAATTAAGGAAATTTCTTTCTCAAGCTATATTTATTAGCACGATTGTTACAAAAACTCAACTAAATGGTCATTAAGATATACAAGTGAATATGAACTGAAGCAGTGTTGAATTATTTAGCTCTCCAAGCATGTTTGTTGTGTCAAATCAGACATATCTGGGCTAACAGTTGTTATTTTGTGGGTCTGAAGCTGAACCGTTTGGGGACCACTGTGACAGCTTTATTTCACATGACCCCTTAATGTGGTAAACTTCCCTTTACCTAGCAGTAACTGAGTGGACAACATCATCCTGTGACTGACAGTACTCCGGTTACACGGCCTCTTGAAATCTCACTCTAAACACACAAATATCTCCTCAAGACAACCAAGGTAAAGCAAAGCATTTTATTGCAAGGATTAGTCAATATACACTTCAAACTGAAGCAAAGCAACACTAAAAAGGCCAACAAACTATAGGAGTTACAAAAGAAAGGCGTTTTAAACTGAGAGGAATAGAGCTGTTGGTACAACAGAGCCTTTGCTAAATACTGAGACATGGATCATCTTGTGTTGACTGACCAACATGTACATCTGTTTGCTGGTGCCTCACTCAGAAGTCTCAGAGCCCATGATTTTTTGTTTGCTACAACGAGGAGGAGAAAAAATGTGAACAATTAGAGAACACAAGTGTTTTAAATCCTTGGCCACTGTTTCATCATCTATTGCCAAACCATTGTGTGTGTGTGTGTGTGACTTGTAAACGGCATCAGGAGCCTAATCTCTTCTGCAATATTTGGTTTGAAATCTGCTGGAATGCTAATGTGAAAAACACAAGTTAAACATGGGCCATGGGAGTAAACATTTATTAGACCAAAAAATAAAAAATAAAACTAGGGGTCTTATAGTTTTGGAACATGTGTGACAACATGCAGAAGGTCCATGTCTCTGATCATCTGATTGGCTGAGGGACAACCAGCACGAAAACAACAAAAATAAAGAGGAAAAACAGTTTTCACAACACAATTCATTCTGGGTTCTTGTTACAGGCACAGGTCTCTGTAATCCAGCATGCTGGGGAACCTTGTAGCTCTTCTAAAGCTCGGGTCAAACTGGATCTGGATACTATTCTCTGGATTTGCAATCAACCACAAAGAAAACCAAAATTCGTGATTTTATCGCGTCGAGGTTCGAAACATCCAGAAGCAGCGAGAACTACTCTCATGGTGAAAACAAATGCCAAGAAAAGCTTCCAAATGTCGTTTGACCCAAACCTGGACTCTATTACAGCTGAGATGGAGCGGTTTTAATCTTCCATTTTTTCTTAAAGCTTCATCACCAAGAGCTCACCAGGTTCTCCAGCAATGTTAGTGGTTCACGTGAGAAGTGAAAAGAGATGAGGATGCCAGTTGGGAATCAGGACACATCAAGTTCATACGCTACTTTTCATGGTAGGCCCCCCAACAAAAGGCTTCGCTAGGTCACGAAAGGTTTCTGTCGTAAGAACGCACTTAAGGCTGAGGCATGTCTTCCGTTGTGGAATGAGACCTGTTCCTGCTGTAAAAATATTCTGGCACAAGAAAGGTAAAACATAACACAAAATAGAATAGGAGCGAAGCGTACTCACAAAACAAACAAACAAAAATAAAAGATTCAAACATTTGCCTTTCTGACATCTTTCCTTCCTCCAATCCACCTTTTCTGTACTGGCTCAGGGAAATTTACACGGCTAGCGTACCAATTAGCAGCTTGGGATGAAATGTCAGCTTTTCAACACTCGTGTCAGTGTGGTTCAGAAATGGTTCAGTTCGTCAGAGATGAGCTGCAGCATGTGGGGAGTTTGGCCCTCTGAGGTGGTTTAAAAAAATAATAATAAAAAAAAACGGGGAAAAGGAATTCTGCATACGAGATTCAAATCCACGCCCTCCTTTAATCAACCTCGTAGCCCCTCCCCACACTATCGTTGTGCTTGCGTGTCTAAGAGAATAAGGCATCAACATGAATGGGGAGGGGCCTTAAATAAGGCCTCTTCCACCTAGCTCCGCCCCCACCATGCTGCAGAATAACACGGACGCTCCAGCCCGCTTCTACGCACTCAATAAATACACCATAAAATATTCCGCTTATATTTCATATACACATATCTATACATATATCTATATATAAAAGCATAGATATATATCTATATTCATATATAAATATAGATATAGATGTTCAAACAACACTTAAATAGGACAACAAAAGTCGGCTCAATAACAATCTTAAAATCGAATAAGTGTTAAGACAAAAGAATTATTTTACAGTTATATGTATTTTTGACTCTAAAATAGTTACTGTATAAGAATATCGCAATCAGGCATTACTCAAGCATTATGTCATAATTAAAGCAATTTGCAGTTTCTTTCATGTAGAATAACATATGCAGCATACCAAGGTAAGTGAGGTGCAGTGTTTTGAGATTTTTTCTTCTTCTTTTTTTCTGAAAAGGTACCCACAGAACTATGGATCGTCTTCAGTTTTCAGTCAAACGCAAACCTGCTTGAGATGAAGAAGCCGCTTTACCCCCTCCACTGGGGACTAGACACATGGCAGGGCATTGCACTTAAGTCGCTTTTACACTTCGGTCAGCTTGGTGTGGGATGGGTGGGGACAGCTCCCCCTCGCGCAATCTTCTCAGGGACGACCACGTGGGCGGGTCTGCTAAAGAGGCGCAAAGAAGACCGTGGTGTCCACAAGTTAGCAAGCAAAAGGAGGCATGAGCAGGGTTGCTTTCGGAGACTCTGAAATGAAAAACACAGCTTCCTACTCTTTTCACTGAGCAGCGGTGCTGCCACGGACTCCTCTCCCATACAATGGAGCTCACAGCTGTCCGTCGGTCATCACGCTGCAGCAGCCGGTCCGAGCTGTAGAGAAGATGTTTACCCCACTACATCAGGTTGCTAATGAATCGCGGGGAAGCCGCTGCTAGCTGATTCTACCCACGCCTATTACAGATGTGAACCTCAGCCGGCCAATCAGTCCATAGGTGGTGTGTATGGTCAACTGCACATAATGTGCAGAAAACACCAATGTAGACACAAATAACCCCACCCGGCCCAATTAAGGCTGACCCTAGTGTAAAAGGCCTATAAGATGGAAAAACGCCATGGACCACCAACTAGGGCTGGACGTTGAGAGGGAAGTCTAAATATGGACACTGAATTGGGTCATTTCATTTCAATACGAGCTGTTGACTGAAGGGATGTTTGTACAGGCTCATCTCATTCTGTCCAGTTTGAGAAAAGCCATAGGAAAGGTGACGTTGCAGGTGTGCACTATAATTAAAAAGTTCTGGGTTGCCCGTTTTTACTCACTTCAAATTTCCAAACGGTACACACTGGGGTGGACTGGCCATCTGGCATACCGGGCATTGTCCCAGTGGGCCATTCACCCAAGGTGGGCCAGTTCGGTCCACCATCCCACCCCCGCTCCCCCGTCAAAGTATTGATTAGGCTGCAGCATCGTGATTCCTATCCGTTTGGAGAATAAGATAATGAGAATTTTCCGCTAGCACCGTATAGACTGCCTCCCCCCCATGTGATAAATTACTTTGAGTGACGGTTGCAGAGAGGAATCCGAGGGCTGGACTGACAAGAAAGAGAGAATGAGGCACAACTTCATTGTTCCACTTTGGATCCTCATTTCTTCTTGGTGGAGAAAAAAATAAATAAATAAAATGGTGGGACAGGGATTGAAACCTTGTGAGTTCGTGAGTGAAAGGGGCAATTTATAAAGTGCTGTGCTGTGTGTGTCGTACTGGGGTGTGTCACACGGACCCAGAATCAAATATAGCCCCCCCTATGATCAATCTACTCTTGATCCCACTCAGTACCACATTCCACTGTACCAACAAACCCACTGCTCCAACACACTAAACGCACTACAAAGCAACAGCGCCACCAGGACCATTTACTTAGCATAACACTCTACTTCTATGTAGGCTCGCCATCTAATGACACAAAACACGCGTTTGCGTTGCCACCTCTAGCTAAACGAGTTTGTGTAAAACGCAGTGGTTCTGCGCTGCGGCTCGACTTAGTGGAAACTATTTGATTTTTTTTTTAAATATCTTTACTTTCAAATAAACAGCACCATCGAGGAAAGGCACTTTCTGTGGACTTTTTCCTCACTCCTTCGCTCCCCTTCCACAACAAACTGAGCAACCAAAGCTCATGACTGATTAATAAAATGCTTCAATTTAAAAAAAATGATGTAACCACTTGAAACGCTGACCTTGTGCAATCAGTTTGACAATTTTCCTCATAGTTTGTGTGCATCGTTCGCAAATGTGAGATTACTGTACCCTATTATTTTAATCAGATATTACAAGTCATTATAGCCAAAGAAAATCTTTTTTTTAATGATCGCACATTTCTGTTGTTCCCTGGCCCTAAATATTTGCTAAACTAACCTGACGACTTTTTAAAAGTGAGAAAGCCAAACACGTCTGCTATGTAAACGCATGTTCAGCTGGTTCCACGATCATTCAGTACCACCTTAAAAGGTTTTCAGTGATCAGATTCGATTCCCTCCAAAGTAACGACACACCCATGCATGAATATTGGCTATCGCCGTCTTCAGCCCTGACCTTTCTTATTCCTTGTGGGGGAGGGGAAACACGGCCTTGGGATGTAATCCTCTGGCACACGGGAGTACATTTTTAGGAGTAAAAAATAAGATTACAGCCTTTGTCACGCTGCAGATTTACCAGGAGTTTGTTCACCAGGAAGTGGCTGAAACACTAAGGCCGGTTTAGGGGAAACAGAAGAAAGCTGAGAGTTAAATCCACTAAGAATAAAAAAGGAGAACTGCTACTAACCGTCTAGTTACTCTTTGATCATGTCTCTTTTAAATGGATGACCAAAACCTTAAAAAAAATAATAAAAATAAAAAGAAACACCTGCCTAATCCTTTCCACTCCACCCCGTCTCCATAAGGAGCGGGTGTCAGCACCAGTCAACAAGAAAACAGAACGTCCAAGAACACAAGGAAACGCAACGGCCTTTGTTGTTGTCACAAATAAACGTAAAGTTCTCTAATGTTTTGACACAAATTAGAAGAGAAATCAGTGTTGAGCATCTTTTTTTTTTAACCCGCAAACATCAAAGCTGGAGGCGGTTAAAGCCCACGTCCCCTACTGAGAACAGTACGACAGTCCAAACACGCCAGCAAGCCCGCCATTAAAACGTCACAAAGACAGGAACAAGTCAACAGTCAGCCGCAATCATAAAACTTTGTTAAATATACATCACTTATATATTTTAGCCATTAACTTTCTATGATACATTTATTACTAAGATTAATAATCAGACTACTTTTTTTTTCTTCCGTTAGCAAAAATAAGAGGTGTGCCTTACATCACTTAAAATGTACAAATATATTTTTTCTTCTGGCTTTTTTTTAAAGGCCTCTGGATACTAGTGAAGTAATGAAGGCTCAAACCCACTGGACCCCACAGTGGAACGCTCGCCCAGAGAGGCAGTCAAATGCAACGGTGGAGGCAGGACCCTTTTAAAAAACATCACCGTTCAAAGGCCGGCTGTTGTTCCGTTAACGAACCCTCAACCGAACCCAAATAAAAATCATACATCTATTACCTAGAGTACGTTAGAAACCGTATACATCTAAACCTTTCTGCACCAGCCATCAGAAAGCACCTCTTGTCCTTCACTAAGTGAGGTTACAGTTTTATTTTGTCGTTAACTTTACCTGCTCGTGGAGTCTCATATACAGAGGCTCAGATTCAAACTCTTATGAGTAGCACCATGCCTGTGTTCAGTCCTGAAACACATGCTTCTTTTAGTGCAGATAACTTTGTAAACCCCCCCGCCCTTCCCCAAAGAGCTTCAGGTCACCTGCAGAGAACAGCCAAACGAGGACCGGACAAACACGCCACTGGACGCAAAAGCAACAAAAAGATCGGCCAATTTTGGTCTTTTGGTTCCTTTTTGTTGGCCGACGGATAATAATAGGATTTTTTGTACTCGTGCTGGTCGTCCTCTTGACTTCTCTGCTGTGCTCTGAAGCCAGTCTTAATTCAGGGCCCAGTTACGCGGGCAGGAATTAAACCCGTGGCGGATTTGAGATTTTAAGTGTAACTGAAGGAGCTGGCTTCAAATAGAGGTCGACCGATATTGGATATTCTATTGCCGATACCGACGCCGATATGCAGCGGTCATGGTCAGCTGATGGCTGACTTGTGCAGCCGATATTTTGGGCTGATTTCAAGAGGTTTTGCACCTTTTTTTTTTTTTTTTTTTTGCAAAAATGTCTCTAACATCAACTGTAGGGCTGGGAGATATGGCCTAAAATCTATCACGGTATATTGAGGAGTTCATTTCAATACAGATAAATGGATAACATCTACATGCATGCGCAAAAACACAAGTTTTCCACTAGATGGGGCTGTCACATATAATAGCCGAGTCACTTGTGAGGTAGGACAGCTTCTTAAAGGGACACGAATGTCACCAACCCACACACACATAGTTCAGTTATTTTTATTCCTGAATTTACTGATAAATGATAGACTCCAAAATTTCGATGACGATACATTTTCGATTTATTGCCCAGCCCTAATCCACTGATCCGTTTTTAAATTTAACCAACTGTTAAATCGTTATTTTGTGCGCTGCTCAGTGTTAAAATCAGACATTAGACTAAAGTTAATCAAACAAATCTATTTAGTGACCAAGTATTGAATGTTCAAAACTGATACAAAAAATATATTTGAGTTGAAAATAAGTTTTGGAGCATTTCTTATGCAGATGAAATTCAGGAAAGTAAATATACCTTTAAATAAAATTCTGCAGCAGCACGGGGCTACCCGGGGAAGTGCTCGGTCCATGCCGATATATAAAAAATGTGAAATATCAGCCCGATATATCGGCAAACCGAAATATCGGTCTACCCCAGTTTAAAACCTGGCGAACTCCGTGCCCATGAGCCCCGTAAATCCTTTCAACAAACCGACTGTAGCAGCTCTGAAGCGAAACGCCAAACGCTCCTGGTTTAGGTAAATAGAATAAATACTTTTGCTTTGAGATGTAAAGTCAGCACACGGAGGACGAGACTCAGAATGATAGGCATCAGGTGAAACGTTCTTGCTGCCAAATGTTCTGCTCATATTTCGGAAATGTAATTTGTGATCAGAAAAAAATTAAACTTTTGACAATCAAACGTTTCTACCAGGCACTTGAATACTACCAACCATAATACTCTACTTAGCTGCTGTCAGGCTAAAAGCGTTGCTGTTGTTTCAATCACAAAAAGATAAAAAGAAAAAAACAACAAGTCCTCATTTGCAAGCGACCGATCGAGAGTTGTGAAATCACCGATCCGACGCTGAAACCATGGGGGTGCATAAAAATCCTTCAAATAAAAACAGAGAAATTGATAAAACTTTAGTTGCACCGTTTAACAGTTAAGGAAAGCAAAAACATGAACGTTCCTCGGTAGCAGCAGAACGTTACTCTGAGGACACTCGCTTTAACCGTTACGAGTCAATCAAGTCCCCTAAGATCCTCTTCCCTTCGTTCGACTGGTTATTGCACTAAAAGGAAACCGTTGACACCATCTCTAACCGCCGTCTCAAAGACGAGAGGGAAACATACGATCAAGCACTCGAGGAAATGAATAGGTGGTGATTGCTGAGCTTAAAAAACAAAAAGGTTACATAATAAATTCGTTCAAAAATGTAGAATCATAAAATGTTTCACATAATGCAGAAAAAACGGGTAGATTAAAAACAGTGTTATACTTAAAACGAACCCCCATAGACGGTTGTGACTCAGCAAAACTGATATATCAGCCAATATAAACAGCCCCAGGTCAAACACAACTACTGAACTGTCGGTTACTGAAAAATAATTAAATAAAAAATAATCTAAACTGATCCTTGTGACTCCTATGGGGCATTTATACCTCGTCGCCAACAGATGGCAGTGTGCACAAAAAAAAACATTTGTCTTCTGGCAAGAAAACTAAATCTTGAGAACTGAGAGAAGAACGAGAGGAAACATTTAAAAAAGTGGCAACTTGTAGGACCTGTGGTCTGTAAAACTGAACTCCAAAATCTATCCAAACCCCTCGTACTTGTTTCAGAGCTGAGGGGCGAATCAACAAACTACAGTAAAACAGAAAGAATGTAAAAGTGCTGCTGCTCAAACCGACTCGAGGTACTAGAAATGGCAAAGGGAGCAGAGTGATACAAACCAGTAAAAAGGTCCGTGCTAAAGGAAAGGAAAAGTTCTGGGTCAAAAATAAAATTGAAAAACAACCACAGGGTCACAAATAACAGAGACAAGCAGGAGGGGTGCTGAAGAGGGGCCTGATGAGGGTGGAAATCAACTAGTTGGCTGGTTCAATATTGCATAATAGTGCTGAGTTCTGTCTTGTTTGTTTTTAAAGCAGCGATTGCATCCTCAGTCCAGTGTGGGGGCGCCGTCTCCCCTCGCTCCTCACTTCCTCTGCACAGTGTCAGGTCCGTGTTGACTAGGCATGTGGGGGGTGGGGGGTGGGCATGCACCTATGAGGACTCCTTTACTGGCAAGCCAGGCGTGCATGGCTGTGTGTGTGTGTGTGTGTGTTAAAGGGGGGTAATGGTTGGAGAGAGAGAGTTGTTCGCTCAGGCGAAGTACATGGTCCTCAGGGTGTCGTGGTGAATCTGAACAGCTTTGGCCAGCGCCTGCGGATCGCGGCCGTTACTCTGACCAGAAACATGGCTGCCTTCAGCGCTGCAGAGAGAAGAAAAGTCCGGTTGTAGTGCACAAAGATGGACGACAACAAAAAAAACATTCTAGGAGCTTAGATAGCTGTTTACTCCCCTCACCTGTCGTGTTCTTTATCCACAAGATGGTAGCGGGCGCGGAAGGCCACCAGGTGAGCATAGTAGGCAGGCGCAGGGATGGAGACCGAGCGGGTACAGCGCACATAGGTGTGGCACAACTGGTAGGTGAGCAGCTGGAACTCGTCAGCAGTGAAACAGTTGTCGTCCCAAAGTACATGGTAGTGGGAGGGCCGACTGGTGCCCTGGGAGGGAAGAATTCATTCAGTCATAACCACTTTCACCCAAAAGATGGGAGATTTACTTTAACAGAATATTATTACAGTATTTTTCTACGAGCAAAAACTAATTATAGATCTAAATTAGATGTAAGCTATAAATATTACTTGGTATTAATGAGTGTGTGTGTGTGTGTGTGTGTGTGTGTGTGTGTGTGTTCTTGTACTTACTACATACCGAGGACCATCATGAGTTTTTAACCAACAGAGTGAGGTCATTTTTCAAAGTGAGGACATTTTTGCGGTCCTCACTTTGTTTTTGATTGAAATGGGCTCCAATGGTGTTTTTAATGCTCCTCCCTCATTTTCACAATGGTCCTCACTTTTGTCCAAAAGTGAGTTCTGGAGACCCTAAAGTTAACACACTTTTGCTCTCTGCCTCCCCCAGTGCCCTATTCTGGTACTGCAGGCCCTTCTGGGGTTTTTCCGAGGCTCCACCCATTTCTCTCCTCTCTTGCTCTCTCTAGAGGTGTTCCTTTGACACTGCACCCAAATTAGTGCAGCAAACAACACAATAACTGAAATCTACAGCTTTTCATTTATTTTTCAAATTATTTAATGGTTTTATTTTTGTAATAAATCTATAAAAACCATTTTTAATTAGTTTATATTGTCAGACATTTTTATAAATGCATACATTTAACAAATATCCACTAGTGGTCATCTATTAAATTGTTGTGCACAGACAAAAGTAGTATTCTCACTTTAATTCCTAAAATCAGGACAGATTGTGTGTTAACAACTATGTTTGGACAAATTACAATAAAAATATTTCTAAATTCACTTTGAGTTAAGAAAATATGATTAGTGTCCAAGCTAAGTTGATAAACCAGACATACAGTTCAAGCATAATAATTAGATATTTGGTTTCATGGCTGTTGTACTTAAATATTTCTGTTTTTTCTGCCATTTGAACTTATAAATAACCAGATGAAAAGTCTGAGGTTGACTTAAACCAGTGTAGAAATAAATTTTGTCCTTAAATTGTAAACATACTACTGTACTGTACTGCCAGTAAAGGCATGAAGTATTTTGAAAAGACTCACACTGCAAACAGGCAAAGTCAAAGAACCTGAAAGAAAAGGGAAAATAATAAGGCAACAATCTGGTTCACAACCAAATTGCTACACATTAGATTTATCAGATGTGACTGTAGGGGGGCTGAAAGGAAATGAAAAAAGACAGCCTTAAAGTTTCCTAAAACATTTTAGGAATAAATTGGAAAGCTACAAAAGGGCTGTTAAGGAGGCTAGAATACATTTTATTTCAAATATTATTTCCTCAGCCTCAGGTGATCAACAAGTTCTCTTTAAAACTTTCAGTTCAGTGTTAGAGCCTGTTAATGAAAATGACTCCTTGGAAGCCTCAGTGGAAAACTGAAAAGTTTTGTTCCATTTTTCTGGAAAAAAAATGGCAGCTGTGGGATCCTCTTTGGTGCAGTCTCACACAACCTCCTCTTTAACTCCACGTCCTCTTGCTGCTGCATTAGACTAATTTGCACTTGTGTCCATTTCAGATTTTTCAGACTTGGTATCTAAACTAAAACCTGCTGGCTCCCAGGTTGATCCCATGCCAGCTTAGTTTTTTAAGTATGGTTTTTACTGTTTTAGTCCCTGTGATTTTAACTCATAAATAGTAGCTTTTCCTCTTGCACATTTCCACAGGAGCTGAAAAATGCAGCTGTAAAGCCACTATTTAAGAAGGAGGTGTTGGACTCATGAGATTTAGCTAATTATAGACCTATCTCTAATCTCCACTTTTGTGCAAAAATAATTTAAAGTGTTGTAAATAAACAACTGCCTATATTCCGGAATGACCATGATATCATAGAGCCCCTGCAGTCAGGGTTTAGAACCAGCCACAGCACTGAAACACTTTTGTTAAGGGTACTAAATTGTGTATTTTTAGCTACAGATGATGGGGATGCTGTGGTTTTGTGGCTTCTGGATCTTATGGCGACCTTTGATACAGTAGCCCACCAGGTCCTATTTGACCATTTAGAACAATTGGTAGGGTTCTCTGGAGATGCCTTGCAGTGGATGAGATCTTACCTATCAGATAGGTATTTTTGTGTTTCTATGGAACAAAATACTTTCACGTAAATATTCAATAATCACATGAACAAAACACACAAATGGCGCAATCAATTTGTACAGAGACTAATTATTAGAAAGAGGAATTTATGATAAAATGAATTTTGGTCTAAATGATACTACAAAAATAAATTCAAAAACAAATTCTTGGACAGATACAGGTGGGTATTAAATGTTCATAGACCAGGGCCCTCATTTATCAAACGTACAGACGCACAGATCCGTGCATTTGTCGTGCATAGGAAAATTTCTACGCATTGTGTGGCGTTTATCATTTTGTACTTGTGCGTAGAAACATTCACAAATTTAGAAATGTCCCTGACCGTGCGTACGCACAATTATCTAGTGGCTGAATGGGGGAATCTCAGTAGTAAAGCTGTCTGAGTCATCCACGCGTGTTCCTCCGCCACAAATTATATTTGCCAAGTGTGTAATTATGTCGTTGGAAAAATATTTTTTTCACATAATTTTGGCTACAACAATAAAAGACATGTGACCAACGGGAATCTGACATTATATCATGACTAATCTGTGTTATTGGAGCATTTAACAACATTCGCACTGTGGGAATGCATCCTCCGTGGGCGCTCTGATCTCAAAGGAAATCCTTCTGTGCTGTAATTTGAGGCCCTTTGTGGCGCGAATGACAAACCACACCATTCTGATTCTAGCTCATATTTAATCTTACAACTACAAGAACTCCCAAGAACTATTTTCTGTTCCTTGATCATAGACGCCACATTGCCAAGATGACCAGACTGACAACTCAAAAGTTTCCAAATAAAACTAGCTCCAAACAGAATGACTCATTAAATGTAAATTTCGTGTTTAGGGACTGTTACACAACACTTAATAAATATCTATAAGATGTAATGAATCATATAAATATTATTAATCAATTTGATTGATATTTAAGGGTTTGAATTAACATTACTTTTTGTTCTTCTGTTACTTGTTCAGGGATTCAAACCCTCCTTATTTAATTAAGATGGAGTCTGAAATTCAGAAATATAGTTTTTATAAAAATCAGTTTATTATACTATGTTCCTATGAAAATCAAACAAACAAATTAAGAGAAACAAGGGTTTAACAAACTATAACTGAATGAATTAAGCGATGTAATGAAAGTGAGGTGTAGTGGGAGCTTTGTTAAGCGTGATAAGAAATTAGTGGTGTCTGGGTTTAAAATTAATTTAGTTTTGCTTATTGGGTATAACAATCGTATCAATTAATAAAAGATGTTCATCCAACGCAGAGTACAAACTGACTTTTGTCTTGGAGGTTCTTGGTGGTACGAAGAAGAGAAGCCCTTTGTCCGACGGAGTGGAGGAGGAGGTTTTAGGCTTCTGGAATTCTAAAGGCCATAGCCGCCTTTTGGAGGTCAACAGTCCGTCCGTAAGATACCCCAGGTCTGTTGCTGAGGACGTTTCACGTCAAATGAGTTATGGTGTTGGAGGAAGCAATTTTTGCATCTAATCGCAAATAGCTGCTAAAAATGTTAGCTTTGAGAGGTGGATGGCGTTGAAAGCTTTTCCTGAGCCAGCCTGGCCAGTGGCTGTTCAGAGGCAGAACTGACGTTCTCAGAGATTGTTGCCATACTTATAGTCTCTAGTTGACAAACTCAGACAAATCAGAGTTTGCCAAGTTCTGTAGGAGGTTTTACCAATATACCTCAGACACCCCTCTCTTTCCACAAAAGCTTGAGGGTTTATGATTTTAAATGTGTTTTTAAAAAACATATTATATCCAAAATTGTGTGTGGTGAATATTTTAACCGTAATCATAATATGATTATGGAAGTATGAATGATTGATTAACCATTTCAGAATCATCAAATGTGATTTAAAGAATAATATCTAGTATTTATAAAACAATAAACACTTATGTTTTAGCTTGGACTGTACCATTACAGATTTTTACTAGAACACTTAGATTCAACATATTTAAATTGAACAAAATATGATCAAGCATAATTTTGGTACATTTTAGTTAGAAAGCTGACACTTCTCTCTGTGATCACAGAGAGATAATATAGATAGAAAGCAGTTCTGATATCTTGAAGAAGTCAGGAAGTCTGTAGATTAAAGGAGTAGTAGAACAGAACAGGACATCCAGAGATCTTGACATGAACTGTAAATAAAAGTTAGTTTCTGGTGCATGATGAAGAAAACAGCTGTTTTGCTATGTTACATAAATGACAACCCGTTAATCCGCGATTTATCAAATCAATTTTTTTTATTTATTTCATACGGGAACCTCTCCTCTGTTCCGACTGCATTTATAACAGGGATTGAAGCAAAAAATTCTCATCTGACTGAAAATTATTGTGTGTGTGTGTGCGGGGGGTGGTTGGGGGGCTAACTTTGTTTAAATTAGTTATTTAAGCTGTTTCTATAATAAGCTGCTTTGGCATTCCAAGTTTGAGTTGTGCAGTCATTTATCAGTTTCTTATACTTACACCAGTCCACATGATTACCAGTCAATTGACCAGTTTTCCATGCTTTGTCACGTTGTTTGTAAAGGGCGATGAGTTAACTACTGATCCATGGAAGGTGATTGCCCATGACTTCAACACTAATCCAAGGAGCATGTTTATCAAGAACACTGAGAAATTCAGAATAGAAATATTTCCAAGCACTATCTAGGTCAGGTAATAACAAGAGTCTATCCAAGTTAATCGACTGTAAGTCATGGAGATAGAACTCATTACTAAAATGATGTAAGTCATGTAACCTAATGATTTTAGGAGGAGTCTAGAGAATCTAAATTTTCCAATTACAGGATGTAATTGAGTTGTTGCTAAACAATCTGGTAGAACCCCTGAATCAACAATCCTGCTAGAGTGAGTAACTAAAATCCAGTCATTAAGAGAAG